CCACACACACTCTCTCTCTCTCGCACACACACACACCCTCTCTCTCTCACTCACACACACACACACACACATAAACTTAAAAAGGTTTGATATGCACCTCTATTTAATTACTGTGGATATTCATTTCTCAAGGTATCTGGAAAATGCATTCTGGCAGCTATATCTTCCCTGGGTTTCTGTTCACTTCCCCTCTTCTCCCCTCCCCTCTTCTTCCCTTCCCTCCCCTCCCCTCCCTTCTCCTCTCCTGTCTTCTTCTGTTTTCCCCATCTTTCCTTTTTCTTTCTTGTTGTGAGTCTCATGCTGGCCTCAAATTCATGACCACCCTGCCTTAACCTTTGGAGTACAGAGATACCTGATGTGCTCCACCGTGCCTCGCCTTGCTGCATTCTTTTTACTTATGACATTTTCAGTCTCAAATTTTCAGTCTTAAGTGGCCATCTTGTTACAGTCTTTGGTTTACACACGTGTGCACAGAAGGCTATGCTTTCCTATGTATGTGTACTTGTGTCCATTTTGTTAAAGGTGGAGGTGGGCAGGGACATGAGTAATGTACAAGCCAAACATACAAAGAAAAATATTACTTGTAACTGAGACTAGATGCCCTTGTTCCTGGAAGCCCTCAATTATCCCACTGCAGGGATTTGCCCATTGCTATCTTTAGCCCACAGAGCTAGGAAACTTCATCCATCTGTGAAGCCTCCCCCACCCCTCCACTGTGGTCCCTTTTCCCAGGAATCCTAAATTGTCACAACTTTGCCCAGTTCAGATCTAGGCCATCTTTGCATATCCAAACTATCAAAGTAACCTCTCCAGCAACAGGTCTCCCTCCTGCCTCTTCAGAAGGAAGTAGTAAACTGCAGTTGCTTTTTCCTACCGTGTTTCCATTTTGCAGAGAGGGAAGAGCTTGGATAGGCGAAGATGCTGCTCCTCACACTCTGCTGTGAGCCACTGACTTTGCGGAGGGTGGGATTCTCCTCCACAGGCTGGACTTAGCAGTGGGTCTTTTGGCTCTTGGATGTATCCAAGGTTTAATTTAGAGATGTCACCTGACCCTATAGAAAGACTACAAATGTCTGGGTAGCACAACAGATTAATTAACTATGACCTTTGGAGTAGGGACAAGCCATCAGTGTTAGCTTTTTTTTTTTTTTTTTTAATTAAAAACATTGATGCGTACACGTGTATGCAAATGCCTGTGGAGGTCAGAGGTCAATGCCAAGTGTCTTCCTCTATCACTCCCCACCTCACTATTACTGAACAAGTTTTGATTATTATCAGTGTGTATGGTGTGTGAGTGCAGGTGTGTGTGTGTCACAGTGTGTATGTGGGGGTCAGAGGACAGCTCTGTGGTGGAATTGCTTCTCTTCCTTTACCTTTAAGTGGGTTTTGAACTCAGGTCATAGGCTTGTGAGGCAAAAGTTGTGTTACCCATGAAGCCATTTCCTGGAACTTTATTTGTTTGTTTGTTTGTTTGTTTGTTTTTTCA